TATATATATATATTTATTTATTTATTTATAGAAAAGCAATTATTCAACTTATTTTTCTTTTTTCAAAAATAATAGTTATTTTGAAAAAAGAATTTTTTTCTTGTATATATATATATACAATATATATTTACGATCATATCTCGGCATCAGTGGGAAATATTCCAGTTGAATATTAATTGGTTTCCGAGAGGAAGAAAAGAGGAAATGGAAAGTATTCCCTATTTATAATGAATTGAGCAGAGTTCTGAAAGTCGGTCATACTTGTTCCATGATTAGAGCTACGCTGCACGCTACAGGGAGATTCTCGTTGAGCAGTGCCTTGATCGGGAGAACGACGAAGAGAACTTGATAAGATATGAAGGTTATCAGCCAGACGTAATCCCAAATTTTCTGAAAAAGAGCTGTGAAAAGCAAGGGAAAGAAAGACATTACAAGCAGATCAGCAGATTTATTCCGATCGAACGCCATTCGGTGTTCGAACCCATGCGAAAAAAAAAACTACAAGAATACAAAAAAATTCTAACACACACTATTGAAGAATTCTTGTTTTCCAATAGTGTACCAGTCATTTGTTCGTATTCTTGTATTTCTTTTTCGCATGAGATATGTGAAATATAATTATTCAGATCGTTTATTGATACTGATATGTTCTTTCGACCATTCGATCGATTTGCTTTCTAATTTCTTTCGATATTGATTTCTTCTTTTGACAATTTTGCGTAAGAAAGCTCTTTAGCCGGCGTTCGGCGTGCGCGACAATAAATTCAGCAAACCGAGGTTACATTTCAGCACGAATTCGAGCCGCTGGTATGCCCAGATGTTGAACGGCACGTAGAGAGCGAGTGTCGAGATCTTCATGAACGACCAGATGTAGAGGCACGTCGGGAACTTGGCAAAGGCCTTCTGCACTGTGTAAGTCCCGATGAAGAGCCTTCAACAACATTGGATTCGCCCATTACTAAGAGTTCAATATATTTAAGATAACCGCGCGACATCTTAATGATTAATTAACGTTATAGTGTTGCGAGTTGCTGTCCTACAACAGCCGGCGTAAAGCAAAAGCCATTGTCCGCCGCGTAATCTACATTTCAACTCTGACAACTCGTCGCGCGTCCGATAAGCCGCTGACATTTTCTGACATTTTTCATAATTCACGATTGAATCGGCGATTTTAAAACATATATCGACGAATTAATTTTCTTCTTAGAGAAGAATACCGAGGCGATCACGAAGGAAGAGAGGCTTCCCGTGACACGAGCTTTACGCGAAAATGCGAAGCAATGTTGCGAATTTTTAGTAATCTCAGCGACAATTACACAACTGATTTGAGGACCTAAGCTAGTTGCGCCGATAAAGAAGCGGATAGTGATGGTAATCTCTGATGGTGACTTTGCGAAATAAATATTGCATACACATACGTCTTCTTACGCGTGCATCAATGCAACAGGGTCGACGTGCTTTTGAACTTACGTGCCCGTGTCCATGAGATCATGCGCTATTGTGTCGAGAAAGAGAAGTATGAAAGTCATCAGGCATATGTTGTAAACCGTCTGGATGTGCGGTATCTCCAGAAGATCGGTGAGCAGCGAGTTCCTCGGGAGGAATACCTTATTTGGCAGCACACCCTCCTTGTTAGATTGTCTGCGAGAGATTAGAGACGCAACATAGACAATGTGGAAGCGTTCATCGTTATCGGCACGTGGGGAAAGGTAGAGATTACTCGAGGATCCGTGCCGGAAAAACTGATGAAATTATGCGAATGAGCGACTGCCCGAAAGTCGGAATTTTTTATTCTACATTAAGTCTTCAAGTGGAGAAAACAATAATAACTTCTTCATTTTTAGCATCAAAAAAGCACAATAAAAAACTTTTAATGTAGAATTAAATTAGACTTAAAATAGGACTAAAATTTCGGCTCGGTACGATTTGCTTTCGACTCTCGAGAATTTTTTTCATTCGTTCCCCCTCCTCCCGTCAGCGCGATTATCATTTTTGATAAACTAGTCATTCAGTACGACGATTATCTGGCGAAGTAACTTTTCTAATATAAATATTGGAGATTGTTTGAACCACGATATTTTGTACATACACAAGCAGGTAGAAATTTCTGGATATTATCGGATCCCGTTATGAGAAGTTTGCCGGACGAAGTCAATAATAACTAAATTGTCTCATTTCGAGATAACTTCACGAAGAAAAATATTTTGACACAAATGGTTAATTACTATAAAAACAGCAAAAATATTTATTAAGAGTATAAAACATCTAAAATACATCCTTTAGACGTCCTATCATTTAAAAGATGTCTTTACGATGTCTTAAAATATATTAATGTTAGTATCTGGGATATTAATTTGTTAGATATTAATTGCTGGGATATTAATTTGCTAGATAAACAGCAAAATAATTTGAACACGCCAGCTAAATTTTATCGTTGCTGCAACAACGTTTTGCTACAACAAAAAATTATTTTTTCCGTGTAACAAATCTTTTCGCCATAATAACTTACAATTTGCCGTAACAACCAAATTATTTATGTTATATAAGTTGGCCTAATCGCATTTCAAGATTTTAACGCGTTGCGATTTGTCAAAATACCCCAGCTATTTTTATTCCAGAAATCCTCTTTTGTTCCAATTTTACTCGAAAGCGCTATTCCTCACCTTTTATCGTCGTACTTGTTCTCCTTACTTGGGTCTTCCTCTTCCTTTTCTATTCTCTGCCTTAGTTCCGACATCATGTGGTTGATGCGATCATTTACTTGCTCCAAAACGTCTTCCCTCATTTCCTATGCACGAAGAAAAACAGCACGTGTGTGTGTGTGTATGTGTTTGTGTGTGTGTGTGTATGTACTTGGTGTTGTATTTTTTTCTTTATATAAGAAGAGAAATATGTGTGTATATATGGGTGTCTCAAAAAAATGTACACACACTTTGAATGATTATAAAGTCAGTGTTCATTAACATACAGTTCATTGTCAAAATTTAAAAGAATCTACAAAAATGAATAATTTTTTTGTTAACGTCTGTTTTCAAACCGACGATTCTGGTCCAGGCATTACAGATAACGCAATGGAATCGCAAATATCAAATATCGTTGAAGTGTGTATGAATTTTTTGGGGACACCCCGTATATCTCGTATTTTATCCGATGTTTATATTAATAATCGTAATTTCGCGACACAATTTCGCTCTGGTATTTTTTTTTATCTTCGACCCACGTTCTACATTAGCCAAGTCCGATCACGATCGTGATGAGAATATTTATCTTTCGCACCTGCATACATTTTAGCATTCCATTGATAGCCATCTCACGTGGGCCATTTGCGGACATACTTCCGTTGACCTCTAGAAAACGAGAGAGAAAGAGAGAGAGAAAGTGAGAAAAAGAAACAGAGAAAATCACATTACAAATAATGAATTCGAGTGATAATAAATATCAGGCCGATACAAAAAAGTAGGTCTCTGAGTGACATCCGCGGGGCAGCTTCGAGAGAACATGACTTTCGTCAGTTTCGATGCGAGTCTCGCTTGTGGAAAAAAAAATGTATCGAATTTCAGACTCGAGTAAAACTGATATCGATCATTTTATTCAGGACGAAACATGATTTTCTACAATAACGCAATTATTCGAATTTACATATTTCAGTAATGTTCATTAATGTTATTTGTATTACTAATGTTTTATTATAATTCTATCTGTACTTTCTATATTTATCTCAGTGTCCGTTGTACGCGTTAGACACTCGAGTTACGATACAAAAGTTCGCGTCTGTCATCTGAGAGTTCTTCATTCATTATATTTATAGTTTGCTCGATGTATCGTAGATTTGATAAAATCTCGATGTATAGCGAAGTACGCAAAAGGAAAGATATCCGAGATTGATAGGAGAAAGAACGATCTGCTCTCGTCAGATAATAACAAATAGAGTGCATACTCCTCTCGATAGTAACGCGGCGTCGCGAGAATAGCGAGATATAGCGCGCGATGTATACTAAAGAAAGAATTCGGTAACAATTACCAAACATTTATCGAAATAATTTCTAAACTAAACGATTCGATTATTTAGTGGCATGGTGCGTATATTTAGTCTAAATTATTTGGTTAATGTAATCGCATCATTTACATTGCAAATCGTTTAGCTGAAGCTTCTCTTCTTCTAGCTTTTCTTTACACGTTTCTTGGCGTTTTAAATTACGCCATTTAATAATGATTAAACGTTTTGAATAACGTAAGCTAAATCGGCAAAAAAACATAAAAGTGGCTTCAATCAAATATGTCACTTTAAACATTAATGCGTGCAAAAGTAACATACTTGAATTTACAATGTAGTTACACGCACCGTGCAATTAAATGATTCCTGCTATCGTAACCAAAATATTTAGGTGAAATTATTTCACTAAATATGATAATTGTTATTGAATTCTTTTTTTTCAGTAATCGCGCGCTATCTCGCGAAAGTAGTTACACTGTGCAACATCGAAGTCACGTAACGCGAGACGGATCTGCATGAATGTTCGATTATCAGCCTTAAAGAATGTTTTCGTCTTGTACAAAATCTGTGCTATGGAAAGCAGAGATCGAAATAGAGAATATATTAAATATATGTATATATATATATATGTATACACAAACAGCAATGAAGGTCAATATAAGAGCAAACAATCTTATTGTCTGGCTGTCGAAACATTAACAAAATCGGTACACAATTCTACGTCACGTCGCTCTATCAGTCCAATTGATTTCAACTGGCAAGAGAAGTTATCGAATTTATCGGAAGAATTCAGGATAATTAAGTTCTTTTCATTAACTATCGATTAAGTTTTATTAATTTCTTAATATAAATAAATCACACCTCGTATCTTAATTACGACGCGCATTTACCTTTTCCATGATTAATGCTCTTCAAGATGCCGTTCCGGCAAAGAGTCGTCTCCTTGGTGGTCACATCGCCGGCCGACCGGGGGGCGTCGTCCCCGATCATTGAGACGGAATTCGTGATCGGCGAAGTGCTCATGATTTTCCCGACGATCTCCTCCGCTAATAAACGAATCCCCGCACGTCGTACTGTCGTTGATCCGCGCCGAATTTCCCCGCTAGAGCCTCACGTCATCACGATCCTTGTCGCAGAGGGAAGAGACAGACTTGTCGGAGAGTTGACGACGATGTTGACTGAACAAATATCTTGATATCCGGTGATTCGCAACGAGGGACAAATTGGCGTTTACGCCAATGTTTACGATTGGCAAGAGCGCTTCCTTTCACAGATTTCGGCCCGCGACTTCGTAAATTTTCTTCTTCCTCTTCCCCAGGGGAAGGATTCGACACTGTCACGCTTCACGCGGCGCTGTACCGTACCGACTACTCAAGCCTCGCTCCGTACACGCGGACTGACCGAGACGGCTGGCGAACGACGACACTTATTATCACTTTCGTCGGTACAGTGCGCACTGATCTAATAGGAGAGACCGTCGCGCGCTTCGTCGTGCGATGGTCCTCGATGAGTGGTACACCGCGACATCGCTCACGAGTACAATTGTCTTCCACTCACACCACGATGGCAGCGGTGTCTTTGTCGCCGCTCCGCAACGCTGCTCTTATCTGGTAATGATGGTGGTCGAGCACGGTGAAACAAATGTCCGTCCAATTGCACCGAGATGCGTGGCGGCACGACGGCACACTGGCGGAGGGGGAGGGGAGAGATTGCTACGTTTTAAGTAAATATTTGTCAAGGCGGTTCGGAACAGTCGATTTTATTTGGATCGAGTAAATAATACTTGAACGTCTCTAGCACCCTTTTTCTTTCATTTCTTACTACATTCGAATGATAATTCAGATGAAATGAACTACTCCGACCTCTTTAGCAAACTGTTTACTCGAACGTAGCAATTTTTTTTTCAGTGCGAATATCTTCGCGAGGGAATGAATAGCGAAGGATCGACGCGCGGAAAGAGCACGCGGGGAACCGAAGCGAACTCGGAAACCCGACTGATACGAGTGATTCTGACTGCGTTTCGAAATCTGCTGATGATATTGAAAATCTGTACGTAGCCGTAAATTATTGGTTTTTTATCATCAGCATACTTCAGAATGAGGTCTCGAGATTTCGAAATAATTGCTGTGACTGTACTTGTTTAATGGTATAAAAAGCGAGGAAACGCAGATGCCAAGATCTTTTGTATTGTACTTGCAAATAAGAAGGTATAAAGAAAAAAATGACAGCCGATTCGGCACATGAACGTCGAAAAAACGCATATCAGGATTTTTTGCGTTATATATTATATATTATATATTATATATAAAGATTAAAAAGTGTATCTACTAAATAACACTTGTGATCGATAAGTAGTAGTAAAATTTAACATTGACAAAATCATGAGAAAAGAGATTAGAAAGGAAAGTTCCATGTCAAGTTTGCAACTATTTATTGAGTGTTCGAGTAAAAGAAAAGTGTTCGTCTAATTTTACAAGTGTGCTGAATCGATCATTTTGTCGATATATGTTTTTATTTGCAAGTATAAATGCGAAAGATCTGCATTTTCTCGCTTTTGACCTCATTAAATAAACATAGGCGATTACTCTGGTTCCTTAACGTGTTATTAAAAAGCTAGCATCGGAAAATCCATCTCTTCCTTATTCTTAATTTCCAAGTTAACGAATCTCAGATAAAAGCGAGATTTCTCGAAGTTATCGAACAAATTCAGACGCAAACACTACTAATTAATTAACTACTTTTAATTAAGTATTAATCAAACTTTACGAGGGCGGTCCGTTAAGTACTTAGCCTACAAAAGAAAAATGAAAATTTTGGAAAAGTGGCGATTTATTTCTCAACATAGTCTCCTTTTAGCTCGATACACTTGACCCAGCGATGCTCCAACTTCTTTAACCCATCTGAAAAATACGTTTTCTCGAAGTCTGCAAAGGCCTCCGTGGCGGCGATGACCTCCTCATTCGACTCAAATTTCTGCCCGGCGAATGACTTTTTCAAGTTTGGAAACAAAAAAAAGTCGCGGCCAAATCTGGAAAATACGGTGGATGGGGCAGTAGTTCGTAGTCCAATTCGACCAATTTGGCCGAATGAGGAGGTCATCGCCGTCACGGAGGCCTACTTTGCAGACTTCGAGAAAACGTATTTTTCAGATGGGTTAAAGAAGTTGGAGCATCGCTGGGTCAAGTGTATCGAGCTAAAAGGAGACTATGTTGAGAAATAAATCGCCACTTTTCCAAAATTTTCGTTTTTCTTTTGTAGGCTAAGTACTTATCGGACTGCCCTCGTACTTTACGTCTTACTGCATACTTTAATTGTAATACACGAATATTGGGTGTTACAAATCTTGAGTGATTGATGGCATGTTTTTGCCGAGGCTATACTTCAAATTGAAATCGAGCCAAATAAAGACGTCGAAGCGTCGCAGTGATGAAATTGGTCTGTTCGTTTTGTAAACAAAATTATTGTAAAATTGCAATGCATGACAACGTGTGCAAATCTACTACGTGGACGATTTCTTCCTCTCATGATTCTCGCCGTATTGTTCTTCGTGGAACAATTTCGACAATATAGGTCGCGGATGATTCTACAGTTCGTCCGTTTAAACTCAACCATCAAGCCGCTAATCCTTACGATCTGCTTGACCTTTGGAACCTCGCTGGTGAAGTGTGTGCGAGTATAAGCGTACTCGGCGAATGCACATTCAGGACGAGCGATAAACAACGGCTGATAGGTGGACGCACCGGTTTACTTTATCGTCTATTCGTTATCTAAGTGGACCTGGAATTTTCGAGTAGTGACTTTATCGTCGGGAATCTTCTCGTTTATTTCGCTGCCTTTCCGTCTCCGTCTTTCTCCGTATCGCTTTTAGTAATATCACTTGCTGATTATCAGAGAATTTTCTTTAAAACTGGAAGAGACACGGAAACGCCTTCCTCCGATTTTCACGAGTTTGTAATATATTAAAATCTAAATCAAAATAGGGGACGTATATATTGTGCCCATATGCAATTTTAGGGGGTGAAACACCCTTTTGAAAAAAATCCGATTTTCTCTTTTGAACGAATATTGTTGAAACAATGGAAGATGGGACAAAATTTTTAAATAAAGATCGAATAGCCTCAATGTAACTGTCTTGTTGCACTTATCGTCACTTTCGTTTAAAGCTTGCGGAAATAGCAAGATAAGAACCAAAGTGAATATCAACTAACAATGATATAATATCAATGTTAAAATTTCATTTTATTCTATGATGTAAATTCAATAATGTAAATGCCATATAACGTGTTTCCACTTTTGAGTGGGAAATTGTAACATTAATGTTACGTTACTGATAATTGGTATTTATTTGGTGAAAATTTCTTTTAAAATAATGACGAATCGTTCGAGTAAACAGATAGAATATGTTGCAATATGCGCACATTATTTCGTGATAAGAGAACGGATTTCAGCAGAAATTGCGCAACCATTGTAAAAATAAGTACTTTCTTATTAAAATAAATATATGTATTTATGAATAAAGAAATATACGCCTATAAGTTTACTGAAAACATCACATTAAAACTTGACTCTCGGCAATCATATTGGTTTATATTCCTAAAACCTAAAATATGCGGCAAACTGAGATGTTTGTCCGATAGGAGGCACAAGCTTATTTTAGCTGCTACAACTTGATCAAAGTGTTACAATGACGTTGTGGCAAATAACTGCGTTGCATGAAAATTCTGCGGTTTTTAAGTTGCAACAACGTTATTTTGAAACGCAGCTATTTTGAAACTCACGGCCTATTTAAAACGGTAAGGTCACGATGCTTGCGATATATATAATGTATAATTACATGAGAAAAATAATATGTTTATAATAGATATGAATGCAGCTATATTAATGATGAAAACATCGCTGAAATTTAATTAAGATTAGAAGGAAAGCTTATTCGAGGTTCTCATTTGAATCAAACTTCCGATTGAAATATTTTCAGAAACTAAAAATCTTCTTAATAATAAATCCAATGATATTTTTCTTGTGTAATTTTGGTGCAAATTCTCGACACACACATTAATCGATTTTCTTTCTAACTTCGATGAATACTGCTTGAATGCATATATGAAAATTTTGGTGTAGTTGTACGAACATTTCTTAGTCATACACACGATATTTGTGTTAATTCGATAAAGCGCAACAGAAATGAAGAAATATACATAACTTAATATATACATGACCCTATTTTATAACTCTAAACGACAGTATCGTCATCATTAGATTGTCCTTGTAGCTTTTCTGCCATATATCTGTACAATATCTGTATTATATCTGAACAATATCAGCATAGCGATAACGACTAATGCTGTCTATTTCGACTACCCAAATACTCGAGTCTTTCAGTAACTGAGTGTACGGCTTCAGATTTTACAAATTATTAATTTTCCTCCATAACAGATAATAAATTAACATAACGACACTATCGTTCAAAGTCATAGAATAGATCTACACGGTGAAAAATCTTGCGTTGCCAACTCAAATTTTCTGTTACTTTAACAAGATTAATATGTTAAGAAGGAATATATTAACAAGGTAAATATGTTAATTTAACATATTCATGTATTTTTCAACATATATTCCCCGTGTTCAAGTAACACAAAAATTTAAGTTAAGGACCGTTTGTGATACATTTTTACTGTGCATGATTAGTCACGAAAAGCTCGGAAGTCTTCTTTTTTAATAAGTCTCGAGACGCATTTCGTATCCAACAGAAGAATTGTTTTTCGATCATTCTCAGAAGACACATACTTCATATATCAGAGACGAGTTGCGAAAGAAGAAAAAAAAGTGTCGCAACCTTCTTGTGACTGACCGCACACTTTGCGTGCACCTTGCAGGTAGGCAACCCCGTACGCACGAGTGAGCGACGATCACCGGTCGCCTGCTCGCCGGCAACATTCCACTCTCTCCTCGCGGCGGCGAGGCGGTGCGCGCGCGTACGGAACTTTGACATTTCGAATCGTCCGAGAGAAGTCTCTCTGGTCTCCGGACGAGGCCAAAAACACTTCGTTTGAAAAAAAAAACCGACGTCGAATTCGCGTCCGAGCGCTTTCGGAAAATCGCGGGGAGCGCGAGGAGACTCGCGAGTTTCGCGAGCTCCGTCGGACCTCTCTCTTTCCTTCTTCGCCTCTCTTCAGCTTTGAGCCTCGCTCTCTACCTACTCTCGTGAAAGTACTTAGCCTCACTACAGGCAGGCGGGGGGGACGGCGTTGAGAACGGCTTCTGGTATCTTGGTAGACGATGCCATGGCAGTCGTTCGGCCAACGTTCACCTCGGCTCCGCTTTCACCTGACCGATTCCGGCGATCTTGCGCGATCCCGTCGTCGTCGTCGTCGTCGGCAGTCGTTCGCCTCGCGACGTTCACCCTCGCTTCAACGGGAAACCGTCGACTCGCTTCCTTCGTCGGCCGTTCCCAGCAGCGTTTTCGCGCGGAATATACACGGATACACACGTGAGGGAAGAGAGTGACCAGCGGCCAGCAGCGATCGGCCGGAGCCGTCCAGCAGGCTGAAATTCTTCACCCAGGAAGCGGCCCTTCGATTTCA